CTGCAGCGGTCCACGGCCTGGTTCTTCCCGGGAGCAAGAGATCTGCCCCCTGAGACCACGCTGGGTTGCTCAGGGCGTGTGGGCAGGACGCCGTGGTGGCACCTGCACCTTCCCAACCTGCGTTCTCAGATTTGTGGGTAGCTCCTTTATTGCTAAAAGCCTGCTCGGTGCTTTGGGGCTTAGCCACAACCTGGGTTCATCCTGGGAGCGCGAATGACCAATGCCCGCGTTGTTCCGTTTCAGAGGAAGGCTTTTCACTGGGAAATGAAATGGCCTGTGAAGGGGCTTCTCCTCCTGAAAACGTCAAGGTGAAGGAAGAGGAACCCAAGGCGTTGCAAGAGGTTTCTGCACCCTCTCCCGGCGCAGAGATCCAAAAGTGCCCCAAAAGTGAGCAGGCCAAGGCCAAGAGCAAGAAGAACCCAAGTAGGTGCGCGAGCAGCAGCCTGCTGATGGGCAACTGTCGGCGCGGCTACGTGCGTGAGTGGTCGCACCCCTGCACCGAGGGCGGGAAGCGTTTCCGTCTGAAAATCAACCTCATCATCCACCAGCGGAGCCACGCCAAAGAGGGGCCCTACGAATGCACGATGTGCGAGATCAGCTTCGCGGACAAACGCCACCTGGACCTTCACCAGAGCATCCACATAAAAGACAGGGCCTTTGGGGCCAAGGTCTGGGGGAACGTCCACCCGGAGCTGAGGATCCGGCCGAGGAGGAAGTTCTGCGGGGCTTTCTGCGGAGGTGCCCACAGCCTGGGCAACGGGATGTACGCTGGGGGGCCCTGGCTGGGCCAGGCCAAGGAGGAGCTGGACAGAGGGAGCCTGTCCAGCGCGTGTTTCTCCCGACAGCAGAGTCCTAAGTCTCGTAGGAAGTCGGTGCTGAAATGCAGTCTTTGCAAAAAGATTCTCTCTGGCACGTGTTCCCTTCAGCGGCACCTGCAGACCCACTCGCAGGACAGGCCGTATTGCTGCACCACCTGCAAGAAATGCTTCACCCGCAAAACTCACCT